TCAGTATCACCACCAAATTTTATATAAAATATATATAAAGGTATATATAATATAAGATATATAAAATAATACAAGATATATATAAAATATATATAAAATAAATAAAATATATATTAGAGAGAGAGAGAGAGAGAGATGATTGGGCCCTACGCCCAGATGGTCTGATTTCATTGTGGGGTTCCTGGCCCGGTGCCGGTGGCTCACACCTGTAATCCTAGTGAGACTGGAAGTTAAGAGATAGAAAATGATCAGGCAAAACAGGAACGGGGAACTCCATGGAAACTTAACCAAGGACACAGATGAGGTAAACAGGTGTGGGAGTCTAGGTAATCTTGAAACTGTGCCCAGGCCGTGAAACCGGTTCATAAGTGGCACGTGAGCCATGCTCTGATAGGATGCCCCGCTGGTGTGCGGGGAAAAGAAAAGAGCGATGCACAGTGCCCCTGAGATGTCCACGGCTGGCACAAATGTACATCCCCTGAATGGACCAATAGCACTGAGGCACAAGCAGCTTCCCTTCAGTCAGGAAATAAAATCCTCATAAACAAAACAAAAACCCTAGACAAAGAGCCTGGAGGGCTCAGCCTTTCTGAAATTCATTTCATGTAAATGGGCGCTTTTCTACTCCTTTCCTCTCTGATTAGATAAAACTACTCTTTTGCTCACCCTGTTGTCTGTGATTTTCATTCTTCGATTGCAGGAGACACAGTTCCCGGCAACTACAGCACACCTGAGAGCAGATCACTGCAACAGTAGCGACTCAGGAGGCAGAGATCAGAAGAATACTAGTTTGAGGCCAGCCTGGGCAAGTAGTGAGGCCCTATCTCAAAAATACCTAACACAAAAAAGGACTGGCAAAGTGGCTAAGACAAGTGAGGCCCTGAGTTCGAATCCCAGTGTCACCAACAATTTTATATATATATATATATATATATATTATATATATATGATTGGACCCTATGCCCAGATGGTTCCAGCACCTGCCTAACAGGCATGAGGCCCTGAGTTCAAACCCAAGTACCACCAAACAAAAAAATCCAAAACCACCTTCTGGCCTCCCTTCCCTGTGATTCTTATGCTCAGTCAAGATGGAATAACTGACCTCTGGACTTTTAAAATCACTATCATAATGTGTAATTGTGCCACTGTCCCCCGACTTCTTCTAAGGGCTGACAGCACAGTACCTAACATGCTCCCTGATAAAAAATAGTAGAGTTTTCTTGAGCTAGCACCTGCTGCTCTCCCTTTCTCTCCTCGCCTGCCTCTTATTCCAGCCCTAAGGACATTACAATAAGAAAATGTGACTGGAAGAGAACTTGGTCCTCCCCAGTGACTCAAAAGTCTTAGACTGGAACCCATAACTCTCTGATCTGTTCAAATGAATTGATAATGTCTTATGCTTTACCCCATCTTTCCCGGGCTCAAACTCAACTATTTCAAAACGCACAAGGTTGTAGCTATTTCCAATAGGCCAGAGGTTCCAGTGGGTCCTCTACTCCAGGGGTTCCAGTGGGTCGGGTCAGGCCTCTTGCCCCCATACACTAAATAGAGAGTAGTGATAAAAGGCACAGAAAGGAAATTTATTATGTAGCACAGGCACACTGTGGGGAGAGGAAAAGTCAATATTTCAACCCCATCTTTTGGGTACAGATGTGAGCTTTAGGTTTAAATAGAAGAAGAACTGGGGCAGGGGACCAGAGGTATCCATAATTATTAAACAGTTCTGGTAAAGATGTGATCCAGTTCCTCATTATCTCAGGATTTGGGGAGGGGCTTGTCATGATGAAATCATTGCTGCCTGAGGGGTAGAGTGGACTCCATCACAAGATGTTTATCCTTAAGCCCTCTTGTTTGGATCCACGGTGACTACTGTGAGAGAGAATGGCTCAAAGGAGATACAGCTTTAAAAGCTAGTGAGCAAGTCCTCGCATCTTTCTCCCAGCTTTTGGATTATGGAGACGGTGCCATCATCTGAAGACCTGGGGCTCTGAGTGGCTAAGATGGGCAGACTCCCTTTGGCCCCCTAGGGAGAGAGGTGCACTGGTGAAGCACTGAGCTTACTGTGATTAGTGGGGACTGTTGTTTCCACATAACCTAGTCTATCCTGACTGATGTATTTCTCCAAATTTATTCCAGGGTCCAGGCCAGTCTAGGGCAAAATTGCAAGACCCTATCCAAATAAATAAATAAATAAAAATAAACAACAAAAAAAGGACTGGAGGTATGCCTCAAGTAGCAGAGCACTTTCCTAGCAAGCACAAGGCCCTAAGTTCAAACTGCAGCACTGCCCCCTACTCCAAAAAAAAGAAAAGAAAGTCAGCCTGGGTATGTAGCTCAATGGTAGAGCACTTGCTTAATGTATATGAGGTCCCAGGTTCAGTCCAAGTACCAAAGGAAAAAAAAATCACCTTTGATCTAAGCCTCCCTCTAGCTAGCTCTCTTTCTCGTCTCCATTTCACAGCCACATTTCTGAAAAGAGAGGGATAACAAGTTAGAGAGACCCCATCTTAACAAGTAAGCCAGGCATGATGGTACTTGTCTGTCATCCCAGCTATGCTGGAGGTGAAAATAGGAGGACTGTGATTCAGGTGGCCCTGGGCAAAAGTGTGAGACCCTACCTGAAAAATAACTAAAGCAAAAGGGGTAGGGGTCATGGCCCAGTGGTAGAGTGCCTGCCTAGCAAGCACAAGGCTGGGAGTTCAAACCCCAGTACTGTCAAGAAAAAAAAAAAAAAGAAACTTTTTGCTAAAAGCACTGACTCCTTATCTGGGCCCATGAAGTAACAAAAAGCTTGATATCCTTGTCTCCATTTTGTATCTGTCTTTGCTCTGAACTATTCTCCTTGCAGCCACCTTGGAATCCAGGAAAGACAGGACTGATGGGTAACATCCTCACGATGAGAACCAAAAATTCCCCCAAGGAAGGGATCAGCAGAGCCTCAGAGAGCAGACCACCCCCTTAATGAGGACAATCACCTGTAATGATGAGGCTGCACCCTAGAGCAGGTTTAGTCATCTTATGTGAACCAGAATGCTCTCCTCAAGTGATGACAGCAATAACAATTTCTAGAGAACCTCCTCAGAGCCAGAACTGAATTAATGACAACCAGGTCACACTGTAACTGGGGCTGTTTAATTATGCATACCTCTCTCCAACTCCCCCCCCACCTCAGTTCTCCCTCTATTTAAACCTAAAGCTTATGTCTGAACCTCAAAATGGGCTGAAACACTTACTTTGTCTCTTCTGGCATGCCTGTGCTGTATAATACGTCTCCTTTCTCTGCCTTCCACTACCCCTCATCTCTTTATTTGGCTCATTGAGGGGTGTGACTGGACCTGACATGTGGAACCCCTAGATTTGGGCCTGTGGCCTAGAACTCCGGTTACAAAGTCTTGCTTGTCCTCTGATTGGGGAACTTAAGGAATGTCCTCAGCCTCTGGGTCTCCATTGAAGTGAGGACTGAACTCCCAATTTATTTCCCCTGAAAGGTGAGGAAAGGGACAACCAATCACTGAGCAGGGGTCTTGGCCATCTGTTTCTGGAACACTCCAGCCACTTGAGATTTCTTTCAGTTCCTCTTTCCCATCTTGGGGCCTTTGAACATTTTCTTCCCTTAGCTTAAAGTGTTTTCTTCACCCTCTTCCCTTGACCAACCTCTACACAGCTTAGAGGTTTTAACTTCAACATCACTTTCTGGAGAGGAAGGAGACTTCTTTCTCCCTCTCCATTAGGGTAAGCCCTATTGCCGCACACTCCCAGGGCAGCCTGTGCTTCCCCTTTCTGTCCTTCCTCCCTCCTAGTGCTGCCCTGGTTAAGGACTGCTGCCCCCTGCAGTTGAAATCCGTGACAACAGGGGCCACTTCATCTTAGCCGGCCTTCCACTGGGCTTGGAATAGTGGCCCCCCGACACTTGGGAGGTGGTCAGAAATACTTGTTACTTACACTCAGTTTTAATAGTTAGTGCAGCTTCCTCATTTGAAAGTCAAAAACCAAGGCAAAGTGCTGGAGAAGTGAATTTTCCATTGGTCTCAAGTTAGTGGCGGGTTCAGACCTTGAGTGGCCCTCTGCCTTGTGATCCAGTGGAACTGTGTGTCCTCAGCTTGCTTCTTCTAGAGTGCTATGATCATCAATGTAGCATCATTTTGTTATTATCTGGGCTTCTATTTCTTCTCAAATGTGCATAAAGATGGAACTCTCGCAGGAGCATTTTACTTATTGATTTAATTTTTGGTGGTACTGGGGTTTGAACTCAGGACCTCATGCTTACTGGCAGGCACTGTAGCACTTGAGTTATTCTATCAGTCCCATTTTGTGATGGGTATTTTCCAGCAGGGTCTCATGAACTATTTGCCCAGGCTGGCTTCGAACCGAAATCGTGAGCTACTAGCACCTTGCTCTTTTTAGCTTTTTGAGTCAGAGTCTCACTATATAGCCCAGGCTGGTCTTAATCTCACTGAATGTAGCCTAGGCTGGGCTCAAACTCACAATCCTCCTGCCTTAGCCTCCCAAGTGATGAGATTATAGGCATGCACCACCACACCCAGCTTCCAGGAACATTTTTTTTGCAGTACTGGAGTTTGAACTCAGGGCCTACAACTTGAGCCACTCCACCAGCCCTTTTTTATGATGGTTTTTTTCAAGATAGGGTCTCATGAGATATTTGCCCAAACTGGCTTTGAAGCATGATCCTCCTGATCTTTGTCTCATGAGTAGCTAGGATTCTAGGAGTGAGCCACTGGCACCCCACCTCGTCCTTTCTTTCTGTGGTGCTGGGGATGGAACCTGGGGTCTAATGCATGCTAGGCAAGCACTCTGCATAAAAACCACTGTTTTTGAAGAGTAAAAAGTGGATGTTTTAAAATTTTTTCAACTTTTCAGGGAAACCCCACATATAACCATTACATACTAATAACAATGTTTAAAATTATTTTTCAACTTTTTAATATGAAAACTTTCAAGTTTATATAACATTTGCATGAATAGGAAAATAAATGCCCACCTATATTTCATTTAGATTCATCAGTCACTAACATTTTACAGTGGCACGATCTCTCTGTACACTATATATGTATGTACACACATGGAGAGACAAGTATAGCTATGAATAACACACATTCTGTTCATATACTGGATACATGAATTTTTTGTTGAACTCTTTAAGAATCAGCTGTAGGTGTCATTTTTACATTTTACTATAGCAATATCTTCTAAGAACAGGAACATTCTCCTATACAAATACGGCATGATTATCACGATTTTACAATAGCTACTATACATCCATATTCAGATTTCTCAATATTTCAGTTATGTCTTTTACACCTTTTTTTTTTTAATTCATGGCCCAATCAAGAATCTCAAACAGCATCTGGTTGCCATGTCTTAGTTTCCTGTATTCTAGTGTATCTGTATCTTTCATGATATTGACCTTTTGAAGAGTCCAGGCTAGTTGTTTAGCAGCAGGTACCCAATGTGAATTTGCATTTGTCTGATTATTTACTCGTGGTTAAGTTTAAACTTTTTTTTTTCTTTTGGCAAAATGCACTTGCACAATGCTCTGGGTGCCTTTTTCTTACAGCGCCTCTATTTCAGATGTGAGAAAGTTCTGGGTCTTCAGGACATGTCAGGCCAAGGTGTGTGTGGCAGGGCCGCGTGCTCATCTCTGCACCTGATCTGCAGCTCTCTGATGCTGGGCAGTGGCAGCAGGAGGAAGCCCAGGGTGTAGGAGGATAAGTCACAGCTTCAGTCATGGCAGAGATCACTGCCTGGGATGGCTGCTGGCTATGAGGCACCCCTGCTGGGCAACCAGAGCAGAGATGAGTTCTCTGGAGGCAAGGCCACCAGGAACTCAGGTGCTCAGTGCCCACAGGCTCCTCAGCGATGGGTCACCTGCTTCTGCCTCCACTCCCTGCTGATGCAGCTGCAAGGGAAACAAGAGGCTGAGGGAGGTGGCCCAGACAGTGCAGTCCTTCTGGAGAGAAGAGGACAGCAGGATGACAGGGGTGCAATGACAGAGGGAGCCAGGATTAAAAAAAATAGATTCAAAAAGAAAAGAGCATTTAAAAACAGACTAAAAGAGTGAGAGACAGAGGGGTGCAGGTTAGAAAGCAAGAGAAAAGGAGAGAGAGAACAAGACAGACGGAGAACAGAAAACAGAAGGCTTCCCTAAGGCCTGCTTCTGCATCCTTTCTTGAGGCTCTGTAGCTTCAGGAACCGGGGCAGTGAGGAGAGTTTGTGTTCATACTGGTCAGACTCATAGAGCAGAAGGGCTCCCCCAATTTGCTGTGTGGGGTCACCTGCTCAGTCTGTATGTTTCCAAGCACAGAACTTCTTTCCCTGCAAAAGCCAGGCCCGTAAGCCAGAAACTTCCTGCCCTAACTCAGCACATCTCCCCTTAGGCAAGGCTGTCAGCAGACAGGGACACCTCCTTGTGACATGCTTGGGGTGAAGAGGAGAGAGACAGAGGGAAGGACCCAGGGGAAAAGAAGGGCACTAAAAATAACCCTCTCTCTGGGTGGGGAGGAATCCAGAATTCCAGGAGCTGCCTAGCAGGGTGACCTCTGCTAATAATACCAGGCCAGGGTTTTCTCATGAGAAAAGGAAGGGGGAGGGGAGGAGGCTGCCCAGCCCAGCATGGTAGAGCCAGCTTAGGGTTCTGCAGAGGCCCAACTCTGCCTGAAGTACATGGAGAAGGGCCCAGTTAGAGGAACTTGGGTGCCAAGGGGACTTTCTGGCAGTAATGTGCAAGGTCTGTATTTTTCCTTGGCAGAGGAAGGCCATGGAAAGCACAGAGGGCTTTGTGGTTTCACAGCTGAGCCCAAGTGAAGAAACCCCTTTCTGCCCTCAGCCAAAAGAACCACCCCCAGTCCCTGCTTCTCACTGAGGAGGTGGAGGGGTGACAAGGGCAGGACAGGACATCCCGCAAACTTTCCAGCCATTCCCGCTGCTCCTTCTCGCTGGCACAGGTGAAGATGAACCTCCGCTCTGGTGACGATGGTAAGGCCGGCTTTCCAGCGATTCCCTCGAATGCCCTTGGGCAGGTCTTCATATACTTCGTATCCCTGCTCCTTGCTCCCGAGAAAAACCTGGCCCTGTTCAAAGGCATCCTGAAAACCAAAGGCACCTCGTCATCAAAGGCCACGCTGGACAGCCCTAACAGCCCCCAAGCTCTATTTTGGTAAAGGATTATAAGAGCCACTGCTGGGATTTCTCCCAGGGTGACTCTGAAAGGTTTTATAAAACCTTCCACATATCATCTGTTGAAAATATACTTAGCATTTATACATAGGGCACTAGGCACCAGGAATTTGAGTGCTTTGCAACAATGTATACACTCATCATCGCTACCTCTGAGCAAGGCATTCATAGTAAGCCTATTTTTTGCCAAGTGAGGCATAGAAAACTAAGTGCATTCCCTGCCCTGGGCACACCACCACAATGTCAGGGCTGAGACCAGAGCCCACATCTCTAACCACTCCACTTCTTGGCCTCCTGGGTAGAAGTGAGACCTGGGGACTGGAGGAGGAAATACACTGTATCTAACCACAGTTGGCAGTGTTGGGGAAACCCGAATGGACTTCCTGAACAGGAGCTGACAGAGAGAAGCAGGGGCACAGGTGTTCCCCAGCCCTGGTGCTCCAGGACATGGTTTATCTGCTAGTCTCTTGCAAGCACGGCTCACATCTGTCTGGGGCATTGTGGAATGGCTCTTACCAGGGGGTTCTTGTAATACAGCAGCCTCCGCTCCTGGGGATCCAGGGCAAACCATCTTTTCTTGAAAGGTTCTCTCTGCTGCGGAAGAGGGAACCTCTTACCAGGGATGCAAAGCTGGGGATCAAGGGTGGTCCGTGCCTCGGGTTCTCTAGTCTGACTTCTGCAGTCAGAAGCCCAAATGCTTCTGGCTGGAGAAGGCTCTGCTCTCCCCTCCCCGCGCACACTGCCTCTAGTGCTGCCTCCTCTTTCTTGGGCTGGGGACAAAGAAGGCTAAGAAAAAGGAAGCTGGGGAAATCAGAAGTGGCTGCTGCTCAGCAGGGCTGAAAGTGCTGGCCTTGGCCAAATTCTAAGCTAGGTCAGGACTGGAGCAAGAACCTGGGGGGAGGGCTGTGCCTGGCTAGGGAGGGAAGATTCTGAAACAACTCTCAGCCACTTTTCCAACCACTGAGCTTTTTTCACTCTCTCCCCTGACACCACATTCAACCTTTTAAAAAGCATTGGAATGTGGCCACTTGTAAGGGAACTCACTTGCCTCAGGCCTCTTCTCTTCCTCTTTCCTCTCCCTCCTTTCTCAACCACCTGATCCCCTCCAGCCAGACTTGGAGCCTCACCCCCCTCAGCACCTTGGCTCCATCCCACAGGGGCAGCTGGCTTTCCCTTCCTTCAGAGATAAGTGAGAAGGACCAGGCCCTGGGGAGGGAGGCAGTTTCGCAAGGGGAGCCAGCCTAAGGGTGAGGGAGGGAGTGCGATGTGTGTGTTTTCTTAGACTAGTCTTCAGCCTCTCTTCCCTGGACAGTCCTGGTGGGCTCTTGGTACACAGCACATGAATGTTCTAGAACAGCAACCCAAAACCTGTCCCTTTGCTGTCCTGCTTTTCCGGGATAGAGTTGGTAGAGGGAGTTCAGAAGAATGAAACATGGCGATGAGGATGGGGGCGGGGCACGAGAGGGAGAAGCCCTGGGTAGTGCTGGATCACACACCAGCTAAAACCCAGCCTCCACTCAGTCCTTCAACCCAGGAACTCACTGACACTGGTGTTCTTCCCTTCCCTCCCTCCCCATTTCACACCTCCCAAATTCTGCCCTCTTAGTGTGGTTGGGACAGGGCCATGAATGTCCCTCCCAGAGAGTGATAGAATTTACCTTTGGACCAGTCTTTTCCATGTAGCCTTGTTTGAGGTAGTTCCTGGTGATGAAAGGCACAAGCTGGGGGGAAGAGAGACAGATACTGATTACATACTCACACCCAGGGGCTCAAGATTCCCGACTGAACTTGGTTCGCAGACAAAGGGGAAGTTTGGAATGCAGAAGGATGTGCACTTACGGTTTTGGGGTTATAGTTGGAATATGCACTGGATATGATATAAATATTTCAACAAAGCTAGTCAACAGCATCCCAGAGGTCTGCAGAGCTTACCAGCATGGCTGAATCATGGCATGGACTCAGGCAAGGCTGAGAGGAGACCCCCTTGTCAAGAAGATTTCCCAGAGTCTACTGTGTCAGGCTCTGGGTACAATTGTCATCTACCCTGTGTGGGTCTTATCAGCCTCATTGTACATACAAAGAAACCTGACCACAGAGAAGTGATAGGGGATTTTCCCAAAGTCAGTGTACCTGGTAGCATAAAGAGGTAGGTTTCATACCTAGGACTGACCAGCACTAGGCTGTACTCCTAAGTGTCACACACTAAGATGCTAAAGCACAAACGTGCCAGAGCCTCTGACCAGGCTCCCTAGCTGAGAGTTGGTAACTGGTAGGGATTTTTTTTGGGGGGGGATGGGGGAGAGCAGTACTGGGGGTTGAATCCAGGGGCCTCCCACTTGCTTGGGAACTGCTCTACCTCTTGAGCCATACCCCTAATCCTGTTTGCTTTTAGCTTGTTTTTCAGATAGGGTCTCGCTAACTTTGGCCATGTCCTGAACTGTGGTCTTCCTACCTCTGCCTCCTGAGTAGTTGGGATTACAGGTGGGTAGAGACTCTGGCATAGGACCACCAGGAGGTGATAACAGGGTCGGCAAATAAAGAAAGCCCTGGACAAGAAGTCAGGAGACCTGGGCTTGACAAACATGCTCTAGCCTCAACCAGCTGTGTTACCTTGATAAGAATTCTGTTTCTGAACCGGGCGCTGGTGGATCACGCCTGTAATCCTACCTATTCGGGAGGCAGAGATTAGGAGGATTGTGGTTCAAAGCCAACCCCAGGCAAATAGGTCAGGAGACCCTATCTCAAAAAAAGCTATCACATAAAAAAAAACTGGTGGAGTGACTCAAGGTGTAGGCTCTGAGTTCAAACCCCAGAACTGCAAAAAAAGAAAAGAAAAAGACTTCTCTCTCAGGAGCCTGTTTCCTCCCATGCAATGAGGAGACTTGACCATATGATCTCCAGGAGCCCTTTCTATGCCCTCAGAGATGCTTCTGGGGACATATGTTTGCTGGCATATGCTTCTGGGGGGAAAAATCAGGCAAGTCTACAGCTTCAAAGGGAAGTCTAGGCTTCCAGGAACACAGCAGGGCCTCCTGAGCTCCAGGACACAGGGCAGAGGCAAAGGGGAGATGAGGTCTGGGGAATAACAATGGGAAGTCTGAAAGGGGAGGAACTGGAGGGCCAGAAATGAAAATCTGAGCTATGCTACTCCCTTTTCTCTAAAATACATTCAAAAGCCTTTGATTCTTCCATATAGAGAAAACAAGAGCCCTGAGCTCCTGCATATTCCAAACATGAACCAGTGCAGGGCTAGTCAAGGCTCAGAGGAACAAAGGGAAGAAGAAGGGAAATCACATGGCTTGAGGACTCCTTACTGCACTTCACACACTCCACTCATTGCATTCTCAAAAGTGCCCTGCAAGTTGGGCATTGGGTCCATGGTGGCAGAGGAGAACACTGAGGCCCGAGAGGCAAGGTAACTTACCTGGGTGATACACCAGGCTCTTTGACTTCAGAGTCTGTGCCTGTCCCTTCCTTTTCTTCCCTTCCTTTCCTTTCTTTTGTGCTAGGAATGGAACCTGGGGCCTAATGTATGCAAAGCACTCTGTCACTGAGCTACACCCCAGCCCTATATACATTTCTGATTAAAGGACCACAACCCATGGGACTCCCTGGGTTTTCAGGATCTGAATTCTTCAGGCTGAGCCAGTCCTGGGTGATTGCCCAGAAACGCATGGCACAGGTAGAGTGGGAGGAAAGACAGGAAAGAGGCAGGCTGGTAGGAGAGCCAGGGTGTATTAGGGTAATGATGCCATGGAGAGGCAAGAGAACATTGAGGATGTTGGTCGAAAACCAATTTCCTCCATACCAATCAGCAAAGACAGGAAGCCAAGCCAGAGTCTGCTCTTTACCCTGCCCTCCTCTTGCTTAGCAATCTGCACCCTGGACTCCCTGCCCACTGAGCCAGCAGGAAGTAGCTCTGGGAGTGCCCTGACCCCTGGCCTTGCTGGAACTGTGCCTAAGAAGCTGCCATCTCAGTGCATCATTGGGGCTAGACTGTCTTTATCTCAGACACCCAGCTCCCTAAAAACCTTGGAATTGAGGAACTTAACAGATAAGTTAAGAAGTTCTTATTCCTGGGATGGAATAAGAACATCCCAGGATGGCATGGTCCCTCCACTCCTATCATTCACAAAAGTCCTCCTAAGCCATGAGCTGGTAGCTCACACCTGTAATCCCAGCTACTTGGGAGGCAGAAATTGGGAGGATCATGGTTCAAGGCCAGCCCTGGGGTGGAGGAGGGAGTTAGCAAGACCTTACCTCAAAAAAGAACCTGGGAGCTGGGTGCTGGTGGCCCATGGCTATAATTCTAACTACTTCAGAGGCTGAGATTGGGAGGATCTTAGTTCTAGGCCAGTCTGGCAAATAGTTTTGGACACCCCCATCTCCAAAAAATAACCAGAGCAAAATGAACTGAAGAGATGGCTCAAATGGTAGAGTGCCTGCTTTGAAGTGTGAAGCCCTGAGTTCAAACTTCAGTTCCACCAAAAAAAAAAAAAGAGAGAGAAAAAGAAACTGGGTATAGTAGTGCATGCCTTTAACTCCAGCTACTTGGAAGGAGGATCAAGGTCTGAGGTCAGCTAGAGCAAAAGCTCATGACCCTATCTGAAAAACTAAAGCAAAAAGGGCTGGGGGGTGTGGCTCAAGTTGTAGAGTGCTTGACTAATAAGCTCAAGTCCCTGAGTTCAAACTCCAGTACTGAAAAAAAAAAGCCCAACCTTCTTGGAGGGAAGTTTCAAACAGGGATCAGAGGGCTAGCAGAGTGACCCAAATGGTAGAGCGCCTGCCTAACAAGCCTAGGCCCTGAGTTCAAATCCCAAAACAAACAAACCAAACAAGAAAACGGACCAGACAATAGCGTCTCAGAACGGGAAGGGACCCACAGATGACCTGAACCAGCCATCCTCTTCTGATGCATAGAATGGTGTCACGACCTATATGGGCTGTGTAGCAAGTCAGTGACAGAGCACTGTGATGGCCCAAGCCCCCTGGCTGGAAACAGCATTCTCTGACCCACACCTTCTAAGCTTCCTCAGCCAAGCTGAGGAAACTAGATAGAGGCCCCAGACAGCTGGAGAAAATCAAGAGAAAGTGCTCAGGCTCACTATCTCCTTGGCCACCACAGGCAGGCCAGCTCCTGTTACAATTGTAATGGAGAGGCTCCCAAGATGTTCCTGAGTCAAGTGCACCTCAGTGCAAAGGGGTCATGGGTGGGAAGAGAACTTTCCGTTATTTATGTGACCTTCCGGGACTCAGGTTCTCATCAATAAAACGGAAACAATCACCCTGCCTAACTGCCTGCTCTATGGGATTACTAGATAAAACAAAAAGAGTTATAAGATAGGGCTGGAGAAGCAGCTCAAGTGGTAGAACAAGTGTGAGGCCCTGAGTTCAAACCCCAGTACTACCAAGAAGTAAAAAAATAAAGCTGGCCATGGGTGACTCAGGCCTGTAATCCTAGCTACTTGGGAGGCAGAGATCAGTTCAAAGACAGCCAGGCAAATAATTCTGGAGACCCTATCTTGAAAATACCAAGCATAAAAAAATGGCTGGTAGAGTGACTCAGGCAGTAGAGCACCTGCCTAGCAAGCATGAAGTCTTGAGTTCAAACCCCAGGACTGCTAAATAAATTAAAATAATAATAATAATAAAAATTTTTTTAAAAGATAAAATGGTCTCAAAAGCACTTTGTTAGTCAGGCATGGTAATAGCTACTTATAATCCCAGCACTTGGGAGGCTGGAAGGTAGAGACGGAATTGAAAACCCAAAACCAAAAAGCAAATACATTTTGTAAACAGTAATAAGAAGCATTTAAACATTTTAGTGGGAGAAGGGGTCGGAAAGCAATGCCCAAAGGCTGAGCCCCTTGACACTACAGACAGTGGCCATCTGACCTAGAGGGAAGAAACCAATCCTTTTTTTAGAGGATTCTTTTTCTGGAACCCTCCAGCCTCCTCAAGACAAAGCCTTTGGCTTCCCTTTGAGGTGCCCAGACCCCAAGTCTCAAGGCCTCTGGAACAAACCTGTGGCCTCTAAGTGTCTTACGGGTCAGGAGACAAGAAGAGAAGGAGGTAGCAGAGGGGAGACTCAGAAGCTGGGGTCCAAATTTTGCTCACCTCAGACTCTGGAAACTCAGGAAAGGCCATTTTTAGGTATTGTAGACGGGCTGCACGAAGGGCATTGAACCAGTCTACTATCTCCTGTCAGGGAAAATGCAGAAGACACAGACAACTGGTGAGATGGAGGGCTGGGTTAGGGCCATCAGGTTTGGGCACATGAACTCAGCACTCAGTTCCACCTGGACATCACACAGTTCCACCTGGACATCTGGTGAGGACTATGTCAGAGCCCCAGGGCCACCCTGAGCAAGCAAACCAGACAGGAGGAAGTCCACAGCCAAGGGAAAAGACCCACGTGAGCTGCCCAGAAGTTCCATGCAGTGGTTTAGGACCTAGCTTTCCATTTCTAATGTGTGCAGGATCTTTTCAAATGTAGACTCAGATTCAATAGGTCTGGAGTAGGGCCTGAGACTCTGCCTTCCTTAACCTTAAACTCTCAATTAGTCAATGGGACACATTTTGAAAAGCAAGGGTGTAGGAAAGCACCATCTTTGGGTATCAAAGACTCACTTTTGGGTGGGGGGCATTTGCACCTGGGGATGCTCCTCTAGCAGAGGTGCTCATGGCCTGGAATGCAACATGGGCCACAGCAGCCTTGTACCTTTGTGCTGTCACTCTGGGAGAATGCATCCCTCGGAGTGTGGACCACCATTGTCTCACCTGGAGAACCAGGTGTCCAGCAGCCTTGCTGTGCTGCTTTCCAACTGGTCCTCCCAGACAGCCAGAGTGATTTTCTATTACAAATCTAATTCCCTGCCCTAAGCTCTTTAACAGGACTTCCCTTGCCCAGTGAGCTCCTTCCACCCACCACTGTTTCCCATTCACCCAACTCATGCTGTTCTTTTTTCCTGGGACACTGTGCCTCCTTCATTTCCCCACACCCCTCACCTTTTACCTACAACATTGTACTCATCCTGCAAGTTGGTTTAGGCATTGTAATAAATAGATTTCTGCTGGGCACCAGTGGCTCATGCTTGTAATCCTAGCTACTCAGGAGGCAGAGATCAAGAGGATTGGGGTTCAAAGCCAGCCCAGGTACATAGTTCAAGAGACCCTATCTGGAAGATACCTAACACAAAAAAGAGGACTGGTGAAGTGGCTCAAGTGGTGGAGCACCTGCTAAGCATGAAGCCCTGAGTTCAAACCCCACTACCATCAAAAAAATAAATAAATAAACAGATTTCTTTCCTTTTTTTGAGGGGGAGGGGAGCTAGGATTTGAACTCAGGGCTTTGTGCTTGCAAAGCGGGTGATCTGTCACTTGAGCCACACCTCCAGTCCAGTTGGTCTGGTTATTTTGGAGGTAGCATTTCGTGAACTTTCTCTCTCATGAATTTTCCTGGGTTGACCTCCAGCTGCGTAAGATCCTCCTGATCTCAGTCTCCCAAGTAGTTAAGGTTACAGGCATGAGCCACTGGCACCTGGCTGTAATAGACAGATTTCTGGACACTTGCTCAGCCCAAGCCCTGCTTCTCTGAAAACTGCCTCCCCCATCCTCAACTCTCCCCCATTAACAGCCTCATTTGCTCATATGATCCTGCTCCTTCTTTGGCCACAACAACTGGACCAGGGCCTGACCAATGTAGAAGCTGGACTGGGCTTATCAGATACTCTTTCTCCCAGGAATCTGGAATGAGGAGGTTGAAAGACTTGTTCAAATAGGTGCAGTGCTGGACTTTGATGTGTTCTGGTGATTGAGAAACTCGCTTGAAAATAGTTTCAAAATAATGAGACAATTTCCCTCTCTCCCTTCGGTCAAACGTGCCTACTGTTCTGCCGTTCTGAGCTCTCCTGTGCTGGGTTTGCTAAGAAACTTCCTGGCTGGACGTGGTGCCACAAGACTGTAATCCCCGCATTTTGGGAAGCTGAGGCAGGAGGATCATGAGTTTGAGGCAATCCCAGGCAAAGTTAAGGAGACCCTATTTCAAAACTAAAACAAAACCAAAAAAAGACAAAATAAAAACAAAAGGGCTGGAGGCATAGCTCAAGTGGTAGAATGCTGACCTAGCAAGTGTGAGAGGCCTTGGGTTCAATCCCCAATGCTGCAAATAAACCAACCAACCAACCAAGGTCTCTGAAGTCACAGTCTGCTGGCCCTGGGACCAAATCCAATTTGCATATATGTTTGTTTGGTTCCTGAAGAAGTTTTGTTTGTTTCTTTCAATCCTCTATGCAGGCTTTCCTGTTGCCACCTCCCACCCCTGGCATCCTTCTATCAGTCCACTTTTCTGCCTATGTGGCTCCTGCAGGATGACCCCACTGATGCCCATCAACAAAGCAGCATGGGCATCGAGGGAAAGAAAGGGAATAAGGGGCAGCCCTGAGATGTCCACCTGTCACACTGGGCAAATGGAAGGGAACAGATGGCATGAGTGAGACAGACCTGACACCTCAGCAAAAGTTGTGGCAGTGACTGGCATAGAGAAGTTAGCCCTGGTGTCTAGACATTGGGGAACAGCAGACACACTTTGTGCCTCACAAACTGAGAACCAGAGGTTCCCTCCACATCTCCCAGACTATACAACTCCCAAGATTCTGGTAAAACCAAGGGAGGGAGCAAGAAAGATGACTGATTTTAGATTTTTTGCTACCTTGAATGTGAAGAAACAAAGGAGGGTGGCATCACTTGACCCCTGGTGTCATAGAACAACCTGTGCCTGTTAGAAAGAGTACACTTTCTCCCTTCCCTCCCTGTCTCTGTCTCTCTCTTCTCTGATTTTCTCTTTCTCCTCTCTCTCTCTCTCTGACACACACACACACACACACACACACACACACACACACACACACACACACACACACACACACACACACCCCCCCCCCGTTGATTCTTCTCTCTTAGGAGGCCCAACCATACTTCTGACGTATCTTTCCTATCCATGCCCCAAGAGATTGAGTGTGCTCCTTTCTAATGTACTGGACAATTCTTCTTTCTTTTCTTTTCAGTACTGGTGTTTGAACTCAGGATCTTTACTTGCTAGGCAGATGCTTTTACCATTTGAGTTGCCCCCTCAACTCAAAGCCCTTTTCACTTTTTTTTTTTTCTTTCCATGAGACTGCACTTGCAAAACAAGTGCTCTACCACTTGAACCACACCTCCAGTCCAGGTTGCTCTGGCTATTTTGCAGATAAGGTTTGTGAACTATTTGCCTTGCTGGCCTCAAACTTCGGTCCTCCCTATCTCAGCCTGCCAAGCATCTAGGATTACAGGCATGAACCACTGGTACCCAGCTGCTTTAGGGTTTTTTGGGTTTTTTTTCGGTACTGGGGCCTACACCTTGAGTCACTCCATCAACCCTTTTTTGTAATGGGTTTTTTTCAAGATAGGGTCTTGGGAACTATTTGCCCGGGGCTGGCTTCAAACTTCAATCCCCCTGACCTCTGCCTCCTGAGTAACTAAGATTACAGACATGAGCCACCAGCACTCAGCAAAGAATTTTTTTGGTGATCCTAGGGTTTGAACTCGGCTTGAACATTTGCTAGGCAGGTGCCCTACCACTTGAGCCACTACGCCAGCCCTGCTTTAGGTATTTTTTGAGATAGGGTCTCACACTTTATGTCCAGGCCAGCCTGGATTGTGATCATCTGCTTCTGGCATAGCTGGTATGACATGCCCCATGCAATTTTTTTTTTTTTAATGTGGTAATTCTGTACAGAGGAATTTTTTCCTTCTGGTTTTATTTTTTTTATTATTATTTTTTTCATTTTTCTTTTATTATTCATATGTGCATACAAGGATTGGTTCATTTCTCCCCACTGCCCCCACCCCCTCCCTTACCACTCACTCCGCCCCCTCCCTCTCCCCCCACTCAATACCCAGCAGAAACTATTTTGCCCTTATTTCTAATTTTGTTGTAGAGAGAGTATCAGCAATAATAGGAAGGAACAAGGGTTTTTACTGGTTGAGATAAGGATAGCTATACAGGGCATTGACTCACATTGATTTCCTGTGCGTGGGTGTTACCTTCTAGGTTAATTCTTTTTGATCTAACCTTTTCTCTAGTACCTGTTCCCCTTTTCCTATTGCCCTCAGTTGCTTTAGGTATCTGCTTTAGTTTCTCTGCGTTAAGGGCAACAAATGCTAGCTAGTTTTTTAGGTGTCTTACCTATCCTCATCCCTCCCTTGTGTGCTCTCGCTTTTATCATGTGCTCATAGTCCAATCCCCTTGTTGTGTTTGCCCTTGATCTAATGTCCACATATGAGGGAGAACATACGATTTTTGGTTTTTTGAGCCAGGCTAACCTCACTCAGAATGATGTTCTCCAATTCCATCCATTTACCAGCGAATGATAACATTTCGTTCTTCTTCATGGCTGCATAAAATTCCATTGTGTATAGATACCACATTTTCTTAATCCATTCGTCAGTGGTGGGACATCTTGGCTGTTTCCATAACTTGGCTATTGCCCCACGCAATTTTTTATTGGTTGAGATGTGGTTTCACAAACTTTTTTTTTCCTCATAAACTTTTTGTCAAGGATGTCCTTAAACTGAAATCCTCCTGATCTCTGCCTCTCAGATAGTTAGGATTACAGGCATGAGCCACTATACCCGCTACCAATTCTTCCATAGAAATTCCTTCCTCTGGAAAACCTTTTGACACATACACCCCACATGTCTTCTATGTGTCCACAGCATGGTGACCAACCATCACCCACATCATCAGCACCTGTTTCCCCATCTCCCCTCTCCTTGACTAAGAGATCCAGAGACCCACAACCCTGCCCCACTCACCATCACACTTCCTAGAACACCTATAGGGACTCAATAAAGATTTGTTGAAAGAGTGAATTCATAAATGAATATGTGGTACAGATGTGAGATTTGACACCAGATTGACTCTTTCATCTGCTATAATCATAATCAAATAATTCCTGCAGTAACTAATGTTTCTAAGGCACTTTACAGACATGAAATACTTTCACATTCATGGTTTGTGGTCACTCAGCCCTTAAAACCCCTCTGAGAAGTGGGTGCTAGAATACACAAACAAGCAAACCAACACAGGAGGAAGGGACTACCCAAGTGACACAGCTGACAGCAGCAGAGACAGAGCTCCAACTTGGACTCCAGACCCCTGCTCTTCAGAACACCCTACCGGGCACGCTGCCCAGGCCCAGGAGGAAGGAAACACAAAGATTGTTGGAGGGCAACCCGCCGTCACCACCCCACTGTGAGCAACACTTGGGAAGGCCCAGGCCCTACATCTGGTTCCTGACTTCTGCTGCCCAAGGCTCTCCCAGCAGCAGTAGAGGCACACATGGTGGAAATGGGTGCAGGGCTGAGGAACCACTGGCTGTGTGACACTGAGCAAGTTACCTAACATGGGCATGCATCAGGGATGTGGGGACAAAACACTTCCAGGGTTGTTTTGAGGATTAAGAAATGACATATAAGCCAGTGGCTCAAGCCTGTAATCCTAGCTACTCAGGAGGCAGAAATCAGAAGGATCACAGTTAAAAACCAACCCAGGCAAACAGTTCACAAGACCCTATCTCAAAAAACCTGTCACAGAAAAGGGCTGGTGAAGTGGCTCAAGGCATAGGCCCTGAAGTCAAGCCCCAGTACTGCAAAAGAAAAGAAGTATAGCTGCCAGGTACTACTTGGGGGCCTGAGGTGGGGAGGATTGAGGTTCAAGACCAGCCCGAACAAACTGTTCATGAGATCCCATCTCCAAAATAACCAGAGCAAAATGGACTGCAGGTGTGGCTCAATTGGTAGACTGCCTGCTTTGCAAACATGAAGCCCTGAGTTCAAACTCCAGTACCACCAAAAAAGAAACAATGTACAACTATTGCCAAGAATAGTGTCCACTAGAATTAATAGATGCCCCCAAAATGTCAACCCCCACTTAGCATCTCTGTCCTCTGATCCACCCCAGGACCCTGCTCAGGAGCCAACCCAGTTTACTCTCTTGAATCTACTTTTTTCTTTTTTTTTTTTTTTGGCAGTACTGAGGTTTGAACTCAGAGCCTCAGGCTTACTGGGCAGGTGTTCTACCACTTGAGCCACTCTGCCAACCCTTTTTGACCTGCCTGCTCTTCTCCGACTGGGCTGATCTCCTGGATCATTAAGTAATATACCCCAAATCTTTTGTTTGTTTTTTGGGTTTGCTTTTGGTTTTGTTTTTTTGAGATTGGGTCTCACTCTGTAGCCCAGGTTGGCCTCAAAATCACAATCCTGCCTCAGCCTCCCTCGTGCTAGGATCACAAGTACTTGAATGCATATAGTTTCTTTCTTTCTTTCTTCCCTCCTTTCTTTCTGTTTTTTTTTTTTTTTTTTTTGGTGGTAATGATATTTGAATTTAGGGGCTCACACTTGCTAGGCAGGTGCTCTTACCACTTGAGCCACCCTGCCCTTTTTTTGTGATTTTTTTTTTTTAATAGGGTCTTACAAACTATTTCCCTGGGGCTGGCTTCAAACTATGATCCTCCTGATCTCTGCCTCCTGAATAACTAGGATTACAAGCATGAGCCACTGGTGCCTGGCTTAAATGGTAGTTTCTAATTCAGCAGGTCTAGGGTGGCCTGAGACTCTAGTTCTGACAAGTGCCCACGAGATTTATGCTGATGCTGTTGGTCCAGGGTGGTACACAGAGAACCAAGGCCCTAGCCTAATCCAAATTCAGGATCTCTGGCTCTCCCTGCATTTGCCGTTCCTGGTCATTGTTCCTGCTGGTAACTGGACTCCCACTGGTGACCATGCACTGTCCAGATATGTCCATGGCACCTGCTGGGTTCTCCTCCCACATCTCACTCTGCCTTCCTCATCCATCTGTCCCAGACTGGGAAGTGAAAGTAGTCAGCAGTAGCAAGGGTCAAGAGGCAGCTGAGTGCGTCATGAAGTGTGCAATGGAAGTAGTGAGCTGGCCTGCTGAGTCTCGGATGCCAAGCTGGGCACTGCATCTTACCTTCCCACTTTCGTGATACACAAATAGGTTCCGGGTGCGCCCCTCTCTTCTGTAGGTGACCTGCAGCCCATGTGGATGCCCGATTTTTTCTGTCTGGAAGGTGGCATTCAAGTCCTTGATGCTGATGACAGCTTTGGGGCCTTTTCCCTGAAAGAGAGAAAGGATTCTCTGTATGATGACATTTCCAGCTGCATGACTTCTTCTCACCTTCACCAAGCCCTTTATGCAAACCAGGAAGCAATATGTAACTTTGGGCGTTAAATATTCTTGCTTGAATATCAAAAGGAATAGATATTCTACTGATTTCCCGTACTCTGTCATCCCCTACCCCTGCCTCATCGGACTGGTCTCTAAGCAGGAAGGGAGTTTGGAAAGGCCTTGACTTGAACTTTTCAAACTTTTTTAGCCATAGACCTTTTTCTGAAGTAAGTCATCCATGGAAGCCAAACAAATAACCAGATATAAGCAGGCATGGGGGCCTTGCAGTGCTCCATCCCCTGCCGTGCGCTCCTGTCCTGGGATCTGTTACACAGTGGAGCAGAGCTGATGCCAAGAAGGGGTGGGATGGGAAAAGGAAATGCTTTCCTTCTTTCCCGGTGGAGACCATGATGACTCCAACAACTCTGGCAGCCTGGACCTGTGGGAGCCACTAACCACGTGTGGCTGTTTGAATTAAAATTAAACAAAATTGGGCTGGGGGTGGCCAGGCACCAGTGGCTCATGCCTGTAATCCTAACTACTTGGGAGGTTGACATTGGGAGGATCAAGTTTCAAACCTAGCCTGAGCAAGATCCCATCTCCAAAATAACCAGAGCAAAATGGACTGGAGGCATGGCTCAAGCAGAGAGCACCTGCTTTGCAAGTGCAAAGCACTGAGTTCAAATCCCAGTTCCACCAAAAATAAAATAAATCAAAATCAAAACCAGACAAAAAATTTAGGGCTGGAAATGTAGCTCAGTGGTAGAGCCCACAGAGTATAAGGTTCTGAATTTAATCCCTAGCACTGCAAAAAAAAAAAAATACTAATAAAGCCAATCTGTTTAAAATGAGACTTGCCTCATCCCATCTCCTGCTGTGTTTCCCACGGGGAATCACTGACATAAATTTGATGTTTATCCTTCTAGTTCCCTCTTCAGACTTGCGCACACATATATACATATGCATAGTATTGTCTTATGTAGGTTTTTTGTTTGCAGTACTGGGGATCAAACCCAGGACTCTGTGCACGCGAGGTAAGTGCTGTATTACTGAGTCACATCCCTAGCCCTTGTTCTTTTGAGGCAAGTCTTGCTATGTACCTCAGGCTGATCTGGAACTCATGGTCTTCCTGCCTCCTGAGTGCTGAGATGAGAGGCACATGCTACCATGCTCAGTTCTTATGTTTTTGCTTTTTGTTTTGTGGCACTGGAATTTGAACTCAGGGTTTCACACTTGCTAGCCAGGTGCTCTGCCACTTAGGCCACACCATCAACCCTCTTATGTGATTCTAATGTACATAAATGGTGTCATGCCAAATGTATCATTCTCTATCTTAACTTTGTCACTCAATATTATATTTTTGAGGTCTACCCATGTTGACATACATCAACCTAGAGTTTGTTCTTGTGGATGACTACACCAAAAGCTATTGATTCACTTTCCTGTTGATGTGTGTGTGTGTGTGTGTGTGCGTGTTTAAACTCACAATTCTCTTGCCTCAGCCTTCAAGTGTTGGGATTACAGGTGTGTACCACTATGCCCAGCTTGCTGTTGAGATTATTTCTGATTTTTTGTTATCATAAGTAATGCTACAGTCAGTTTATGTTTCTGCATATGTGAGGGTCTCTGCAGGTCACAATGTATACTTGAGAAGTTATTGTTAGATCACAGCTGTGTGCAACTTGAACTTGCCAACTTATTCTACTGAATGGCCCCACAGCAGTTGTGCCAATACTTAATCCCACCAACAACAGAGAAGAGTTACCCGTCCCCATGTTCTCATTAATGCGCAACATTGCCTGATTTACAACTTTTGCCAATATCATGGGTACGAAATTGTATCTCACTGTTAATTTTCACTTAGTCAACTTCACTGAGGTACCACTTATGAGCAATACTGTACTTGTTTTAAGAACAGTTTGAGGGCTGATGGAGTGGCTCAAATGATAGAATGCCTACCTAACAAGCTTGCAGCCCTGGGTTCAACCCCCAGTACCACAAAAACAGAAAAAAGGAGATAAAGGATGGAGGGCTGGCAGAATGGCTCTATTGGTACAGCATCTGCCTAGCAAGCTCAAGGCTCTGAATCCAACGCCCAATACCACAAAAAAAAGTTTGTTTTTTGACAAATGTATTTCTCCACAATACAGTCACTGCAACAATCAACATATAAAACATTCCCATCACCTCAGAAGAGTTCCCTCACTCTCTTGCAGTCAATCCCTACCCCACTTCAACCCCAGATAACCATTTATCTGCCTTCTACTGGTAGCTTTGCCTACTCAAAAATTTCATATATAAATGGACTCATGTAGAACATTTGGATAAGGATATTTTGGCTTAGAATAAATTTTTTTTTTGCAGCAACTGGGGTTTGAACTCTGGACCTCACACTTGCTAGGCGGGTGCTCTACCACTTGAGCTACTCTACCAGCCCTTCAACAGACATTCTGGAGGGTATGGAGTATAGCTCATTGTAGTTTTAATTTTCATGTCCCTAACTGTCCGAGAGATGGACCAGCAGTTCTGATATTTATCCAGCAAGCTGGTTTCCTTTAATGGAGCTGACAGTCCATTTCCTTTCCCTATTTTTCCAATAGACTGTCTTTTTCTTCTTGAGTTGTAATTTTAAAAAATACATATTCTGGGTATTTACATTGTTACGTTGACATAGCATCTGGAGTTTTCTTTTTTATGCTTCACTTACTCTTTTTTTTTTGGCAGTACTGGGGTTTGAACTCAGGGCCCTGTACTTGCTAGGCAGGTGCTCTACCACTTGAGCCACGCCCCTGCTTTAGGTACTTTTTGAATAGGGCCTTGAATAGTGTATAATCCCTGGCCCATCTGGACTGTACTTCCTGCACAGCTGGGATGGTAAGTGCTCACCACCATGCCCAACTTTCATTGGTTGAGATGGGGTCTTGCAAACTTTTTGCCCAGGCTGCCCTTAAACTGTGATCCTCCCAATCTCTGCCTTCCAAGTAGCTAGGATTATAGATATAAGCCACTGCATTTGGCTTGTGTTGGTTATGATATGGGGTTGTGCTACGATGCCCAGGCTGTTTATTTTTTTCTGCACTGGAGTTTAAATTCAGAGCTTTGTACTTGTTAGGCAAGCACTCTACTGCTTGAACCACATGCCCCAGGCCTTCCTGGGCTCGAGAGATTCTCCTGCCTCAGCCTCCTGAGTAGCTGGGGCTACAGGACTGTTTTACCATACCCAGCTTATGTTTGTTTGTGACAGGATCTTGCTATGTAGCCTAGACTGACCTCAAACTCATGATTTTCCTGTGTCAGCCTCCTGAGTACAGGGATTACAGACATGCACCACTACACCTCATCCAGTTCACTTTTTTGTATTACTCAAATTTTTACACATAAATGAGTTACCTCTATGATTGAAAAGAAATTTCCATTCTGGGAAATATATGATCAAGCTGGGTACGGTGCTTCATACCTGTAATTCCAGTCTCTAATCCTAGCACTCAGGAGTCCCAGGCCAGGCTGGAATACATAGCAAGACCCTGTCTCAAAAACACAAAACAAGTCAGGTGCCAGTGCCTCACACCTGCAATCCTACCTACTTGGGAGGCTATTTGAGAGGCTATCTGGAGGATGGAGTTTGAGGCCGGCCCAAGCAAAAAGTTCAAGAGACCCTATCTCCAAACTAACCAGAGCAAAATAGACTAGAGGTGTGGCTCAAGTGGTAAAATGCCTGCTTTGCAAGTGCGAAGCCCTAAATTCAAATCCCAGTCCCACAAAAAAAAAAAAAACCCTAAAAAAAGACCCACAAAAAACAGCCAGGTGCTGTGGCTCATTACTGTAATCCAGGCTACTCAGGAGACAAGATCCAGAGGATCACAGTTTAAGTCCAGTGGTGGGGGGGAGGGAGGATTTGGTGAGACCCCTATTTCAACCAATAAACTGTGGTGGCACATACCTGTCATCCCAGCTATGAGGGAGGAGTACTAGGAAAATGGTGGTACAGTTCAGCCTGTGCAAAAATGTGAGACCATATCTGAAAAATAACTAAATCAAAAAGAGCTGGCTGGGTGCCAGTGGCTTATGCCTGTAATCCTAGCTACTCAGCAGGCAGAGATCAGGAGGATTGTGGTTCGAAGCCAGCCTGGGCAGTTTGTGAGCCCCTACCTCAAAAATACCTACACAAAAAAGGGTTGGTGGAGTAGCTCAAGTGGTAGAGCATCTGCCTAGCAAGTGTGAGACCGAGTTCAAACCCGAGTACTACAAAACAAAAACAAACAAAATGAACATAGGGAGCCCACTCTAGTTTTGGACTATTCTAGGCTGAACTGACTTGGAACTGAAAAACAGATTAACTTTTTTTCCAACCAAAGATGAAACTCCATCTAAAGGCCATTTTGCAGCAGCAGCTGGGGCTTAGGGCTCTTTCTCACCACAGTAGCACTTTTTCTTCCAGCCTTCTGTGCTATTTCAATAAAAATGTTGAAAAATCAACAGTTCCAGTCCTTTAAGTTGAAGACAGAGAAGATATCTCCACCTTCACTTGGAGTGTTAACACTCTTCTTCCCAGAAGACTTGGTTCTAGGGCACGGCCACACTAGACAGCCCTTGTAGCACTGCTTTGGTCTGTCTAGGAAGCGACAGGTAAATAAGTTACAATTTCTTCATATGGGAAATACACTCAGGTGAAGGCTAACGTGCTCAGAGCTAGTCCTCCTCTAATTTTGTTGGCCACTCCTTCACATTCTCCTTGCTGACAACTTTTCATTTTTCTGTCCTCTAGGGCTCAATGTGGTAACTGGTCTTCCAAGATACTCCTCACCAATTCCTTCCCTCCCTGTAGGCACCTGACACTCTATCCATACAAAAGTGGACTCTATGTCCCCTCCCCTTCAACCTAGGCTCACTGCATGACTTGCTTTGACCAGTACAGTGCAGTTCCTGGCCTCCTCTTTGGCTTGAAGGAAGCCAGCCACCATGCTGGGCTGAGTATGCAGCTCAGAGCGCTTGCCTTGAATGCACAAGGCCCTGGATTCGAACCATAGGACCATAAGAAAAAAACAACAAAAACGAAGCAAGTATTAGACTCCTGACTGACAGCAGCGGGGGCGGGGCACGCTAGGTTCTCTGCGACATGTGAGTGCAAGCTTCCTTGCTCCTCTAGCCCAGCTCCATGCACAAGGTGATGACCCAGCTGACACCACATGGTATTCACTGGAGCTGCCAAGGCCTGTTCATTCCTGATCCACAGAATTGGGAAGAACAGGAGGTTGATGTTTGAAGCCGTAAGGTTTTAGGGTAGTGTGTGATTCAGCCACAAATAACCAGATGCTCTGTGCCCAAACAACTTTTCCCTACTTAGGCAACTCCACACATTCCCGTGGTTTAGCCAGTCCACATGCTAAGGACATTAGCTCCAAACTCTCCAGCCTCCAACACTGTGCAGCCGCCTTCTCCATGTCTCCACTTGGATGACAATTAGCATCTCAAACTGAAAAGGACCCTTGACCACTCCCTTAAGGGGCTAAGTCTGCTCTCAGCAGATAGCAAGTTCATCCTTCTAGGTTTACAGGACAAAAATACATTACGCGCTTAGCATGAGCAAGGCCCGGGTACTGGGGCTGGGTACCGTGGCGCACTCCTGTCACTCCCAGTTACTCAGGAAGTTCAAGCAGGAGGATTGCTTGAACGCTTGAGTATAAGACCAGCTTGGGCAACACAGTGAGACTGTATCTCAAAAAACAAAATGAGCTGGGTGCTGGTGGCTCACACCTGTAATCCTAGCTACTTGGGAGGCAGAGATCAGGAGGATTACAGTTTGGGGCCAGCCTGGACAAAAAGTTCAAGAGACCCTATGTAGAAACACCCAACACACACACACACAAAGGACTGGCAGAATGGCTGAAGAAATTGTGAGGCCCTGGGTTCAAATCCCAATACTGCCAAAAAGAAAGAAAGAAATCCCAAAACAAACTGGGCACCATAATTGGCTCATGTATGTAATTCAAACTAGTTGGGAGGCTGAGATTAGGAGGATCAAGGTTTGGGGCCAGTCTGGACAAACAGTTTGCAAGACCCCATCTCTAAAATAACCAAAGCAAAAGGGACTGGTGGAGTGGCTCAAGCAGCAGAACACATGCTATGCAAATGTGAAGCCCTGAGTTCAAACCCCAGTTCCACCCCTTCAAAAAAAACAAACATGGACCAGTCTAAGTTGATTCAAAGTGACCAGAGTACAGTTTTCAGAGGACTAGGTTGATGGTAGATCCAGGAAAAAGGAGAAGAATGTTGTTCTCTCAGTGGTTGAAACTCTCTACTAGACAAGGCACCACACCCTCCATGTACTCTTTAGTGAAGCCTTAGTGAACAAGCGCTCTGGAAGGAAACTCTCAAGTCTGGCCTCTTACCTCTTCCTTGGTGTAGTACTTCAGGAGGCCTTCTCTTGTCAGAAGGACAAACCTTCTTCTCAGGAACTGTGCGTTGTCCCTTCCTCGCTTCCACAGGAATCCTTCCCGGTTACCTTAACCACCAAGGACAAAGAGGAATGGACATCCATGACCTCAAGATGAATAAGCAGCCAATGAACCTCTCAGGGCTTCAGGGGTAGAAAGAGCCCTTCATCTGTTGCCCAAATACCTCCAAACAATTTCAGCTGCAGAACACAAAGGTCCTGTCTGGGGCCAACTCTGTGATGCCTTACTTAGTTGGATTTCACCCACTGGGCAAAATTTCCTCCTTGGCTCTCCACGGGATCAGGCTGTCTAAATCCTGGTGGGGGGGTGGGGACGGGACTGGGCATGGTGGTTCATAACTGTAATCCCAGCTACTTGGGAGGCAGATATAGGATTGATGTTCAAGGCCAGCCAAGTAAAAAGTTAGCAAGAATCTCAAAGAACAAGCTGGGTATGGTAGTGCCTGCCTGTGATCCCTGTGATCCTCTGTGAGGCAGAGGTAGGAGGATTGCAGTCTGAGGCCAGTCTGGGCAAAAACATGAGACCCTATCTGAAAAACAAAGGAAAAGGAGTAGGGGTAGAGCCCTGGGCTAGCAAGTACAAGGCCCCAAGTTCAATTCCCACTACTGACAAAAAACAAAACAAGGAAGGCTAACTCCTGAGAAACTGATTCTGAAGGAGACCTGGTTCTACCTAACTTCATACAGACATTACCCTACTAAAACTTTGGGAATAATAAGTGACCTTGATGCATCTACTGGTTTGAAGAGTAATTTGCAGGACAAAGGCCACATGTTTTCCCTCATATGTGGAAACTAGATCTATAAGACAAATGCATACATAAATACATACATGGTCTTCTATACACGTGTGTGTGTGTGTGTGTGTGTGTGTGTGTGTGTGTGTGTGTGTGTAGAGAAAGAGAGAGAGAGGGAACATGACTGCAATCATGGGGAAACACGATTGTATTCGTGGTCTGTCTGAGGGAACTATGGGAAGGCAGGAGAAGAAAAGAGAATGACAGTGACTAATACTGCACTACAATACATCTGGGTATAAAGAAGGTATAAGAAAATTCATGTAAGTTGATGAATAATAGGAGAGCAGGGTGACAGACAAAAAGTAATAGAGGGGGTAACCTGATTAAAGTACGATATATACCTGGGTAAAATACCAAGATGAAATCCCCTCGAACAATCAATATACACGTTAAAAAAATGAAGGACTTGGACTGGAGGCGTGGTTCAAGTGGTAGAGTGCCTGCTTTGCAAGCATGAAGCCATGAGTTCAAACCCCAGGTCCACCAAAAAAAAAAAAGCAAAAAAAGGCTGGATGCCAGTGGCTCATGTCTGTAATCCTAGCTACTCAGGAGGCAGAGATCAGGAGGTTTGGAAGTCAGCACCAGGCAAATAGTTCACAAGACCTTCTCTCGAAAAACCATCATAAAAGAAGGCTGGAGGAGTGGCTTAAGTGGTAAAGAGTGCCTGCCTAGCAAGTATGTGGCCCTGAGTTCAAACCCCAGTGCTGCCAAAAAAAGAAGGTCAAGGAGGTAAAACAGATTCTGTCTGGGGACTGGGCATCAATGGGAGAGGGGAAGGTAAACAGAGAGGGTGAAGGAGGGTGAATATTGAATATGGAGTTGTACTTTGTATCCACGTATTAAAATACAAATTCTTCTAAGAAGGGGGAGGGGGAAGAGAACGATGGAGGTGTGAACCTAGTTAAGACATATTATAAGCACATATGTAAATGTTTCAATGTCTCCCCCTGTTCAACTATTATATGCTACTAAATAAAAATTTTTAAAAAGATTTATTTGCACTCCTAGTAGCTAAGAGTTGAGCATTGACTGCCTTTGGACCTCCAAGGACTGTTGTTGTTTTAGGCAGTACTGGGATTTTGAGCCACTCCACCAACCCTCTTTTGTGATGGTTATTTTCGAGATAGGGTCTTGCAAACTATTTGCCCAGGCTGGCCTCAAACCAAGATCCTCCTGATCTCTGCCTCCTGAGTAGCTAAGATTAAAGGTGTAAGCCACTGGTGTCTGGCTTCCAAGAATAACTTTGTTAACTCTCTCAGTTAGTGTCAGGTTGAACTCAGGTCAAAACTGCCTGAGTGAAAATTGCCATTGATCTGGGGCTGCCGATGAGGCTGTGCCCTGCACCAGGGAGGGGCAGGGAAAGGGAGGCAGATATCCAGCCTACGCTCCTCGCCAAGCCTAAAGCTGCACCAGGAGTTCCATTAACTGAGAGCAGGGCTGCTGTTCTAATGGTCTGCCCGGTGGGGAGTCTTCCTGCACTTCATACTAGGACTCTGCACTGCTGTGACCCTGCAAGATCAAGACCCACGTGTTTCTCTGCTGCTGGGACCACAAAGCATCACCTGCTCAAGTGCTTGCTGCTTCCAGGCAGGGGAGCTCACAACTTGGCTTCCATAGGCAGAGCCAGGGCAGCAGGCATCTTGTAGATAGGTCTTGCTCCTTGCTGCACGTACTTTGTTCTAGAGAGCTCATTAGAACACAGACCTCAAAAGACAAGAAAATAACTTTACCTGGGAGTGAGACGGTTTTCCCTTCAGCCATAAACTCCTGTCGCTCATACTTAGCTCGAATCCATTGTTCCTTTAAGACCCTAGAAAGAGAGACATTTTGGTTAACTGTCTGCTAAAGATTCTTCCCATAGTGACCTTGCAAGACTCTGCAGCAGAGGGTGGGAACAACACAGCAGCCGCCTTGCTGCCTGCTGGGCTACCTAGGGTTTCTCAGCCTCAGGCCTGTTGCCCTGCAGTGCAACAGTGTTGTGGTGCAGTCCTGTGCTTTGTAGAAGGTGTGACAATATTTCTAGCCTCTACCTACCAGATGCCAGTAGTAGTAGATGCGACACCCAGAATGTCTTCAGACATTACTGAATATCTCCAGGGAAGGAATTTTTCTCACCATGGTTTTTTCTCTCTGTCTGAGAGCCGCTGGACTGTTCTAACCCCAGTGGTAGTCCTCCAGGTCAATAAGGAAAGGTACCAGCTCCCCTGGACATCTCCCCTGCCGCCACTCACTGCATGCCCATGACCTTGAATTAGGAAAGCCTGAGGGCTCCTGGGCCCGTTCATGAACTCTAGGCCTATGATACTGGACGAGCAGTGATCTTGGGGCCTGACCACCTGGGATCTATCTGGTCTCACTCTACCTATGGTCTACTGTGTGACCAAGAACAAGTAACTTTACCCAACTCCTCTGAAGTTTGGTACTATGCCAGTAATAGCATACCTTCCCCTACAAGGTTGTTGAGAGGTTTAAATGTACATAAAAACCTGACACTGTGTAGGTGTTTAATGCTATCTCAGTCAAATGTTACTATCCATGACCCCTGCAGAAAACCCACACATCCAAGAGTGGACCTATGTTAATTGTTTGGTTCCCTTTTACCATTGTCAGGCACATGTTTCAAGGTTTACCTGACCTTACCTCCTGAACAGGAGTGACCTAGAGCTGGTCACCTGACTCAAACTGGTCATTCACAGCTCCGGGCTGCCCTGGGCTGTGAGGACAAAAGGAGCAAAACTGAAAGAGAGATTAACTGGAATCCCTCTCTGGGGCCACACTGGGCTGTGTAGACTGGCACCTGAACATGACCTTATTGCTAGTGGCTGGCAGGAAAGTCTGGCTGAGAGAAAGATGCAGGAAAGAGAGCCAGATGTGAGACACCTGATCATGTTTGAGCCCTGGCTTGGTTCTTCCTGAGGGTAGCTTCACCTCTGTCCTTCCTGTGGTCTGATCCCCAAAACCCACAGAATTCTCTTTTGCCTGAGCCAACTTAAATTGGGTTTCTGTTACTTACAATCAAGGGTCCTTCCTGGACTGGGGACACAGCCCAGTAATACAGCACTTGCTTGCCATGCATGAGACTCTGGGTTCTGTCTCCAGTACCTCAAAATAAAAGTTATTTCCTAATGTACAGCCCTCATTCCTAGGACACTGAGGACAGCCACCAGTCCCACATGAGGATGGGACTCCTGGGCCACAGAATCAGAGCTGGGAGAGGGATTGGAGATCAAGGGCACCAATCTTGGTCCTGGAGTGGGGAACTTACTGGGATTTTAGAACTGGAGAGAAGCAGCCATGGGTACTCAGCTAAAGGGGGTCAGAATGTAGGGCTGTTGGAGTCATGGCAAGTAACGTCTGTGTGATGTTGGCAGAAAACCGCATACAGGAGGTGCTTGCACGTGCATAGAGCAAAGTGGCAGCAGTGTCTCAAGTAGAGTCCAATATGTCCCTCAGCTGGGCTGGGGACCGGGCAGCATTCTAAAGCTGACACTGAGAAAAGCTAGTGTGCGTGGAGGGTCTGGGCACGGAGGTGCACGTCTGTGATCCCAGCTATGTGGGAGGTGGAGATCAGGAGGCTCGTGGTCCAGGCAAAAGTGTGAGACCTACCTGCCAGATGCCCATGACTGATGCCTCAAACCTCAGTACTTGGGAAGCCGAGATTGGGAGAATCACCAGTTGAGGCCCGCCCTGACAAATGGTTCTTAAGACCCATCTGGACTAACAGCAGCCAGCTATGAGTGAGGATGAGACTGGAAGGACCCCAGCTCCTGACCAGTCTGGGCAAACAGTTTGCAAGACCCCATCTCAACAGAACAAAGCCAGGCACAGTGGCATGCACCTGTCACCCTAGTGATGATGGGAAGTTTAAAATAGAGGGTCATGATCCAGACCAGCTTTGGCAAAAAAGCAAGACGCTTCTCCAAAACAACTAGAGCGAAAGGTTGGAGCCCTGGCTCGAGTGGTAGTGCGCCTGCCTAGCAAGCACAAATCAAGTTCAAACCTCAGTATCACACAAACAAACACCACCAGTGAGCCAGGTGCCAGTGGCTGTAATCCTAGCTACTCAGGAGGCAGAGCTCAGGAGAATCGCAGTTCAAAGACATCCTGGAAAAAGAGTTCACAAAAACCCATCACAAAAAAGGGCTGGTGGAGAGGTTCAAGGTGTAGACCAGACCCTAAGTTCAAGCCCCAGTACCACCAAAAAACAACAAACAAACAAACAAAAACCTGGTGTGCCAAGTGGTGTGTGGGAAGTTTTATATAAATCACTTCATCTGATCTCTACAACCATGCTATGAGGCTGGCGTCACAGTCTGCATGTCTGAGATGACGATGCTGACAATCAGAAGTTTGGTAACTTGTGCTCCTCTCACAGCTGGGGAGTGGTAGTGTTAGGAAACAAAACTAAGGTCTTCTGCGTGCCAAGCTGTGCTTCCCCCCACTGCACTCTGCATCAGTATCCCTCGGGTTGTGTAAGTCCTGGGAAATTATAGGACCATCAGATCCTGTTGTATAGTTTGTGGACTGCTCAAAGCACCTGCCGAGGCCAGGGTAGATGAAATGCAACTTGTTCTTTTTTTTTTTTTTTTTTTTTCCAGCACTGGGGTTTAAACTCTGGGCCTCATGCTTGCTAGGTTGGTGCTCTATCTCTTGAAACACTTCTCCAGCCTGCAGCTTGTTCTTTTCTTGCCAGCCACGTCCCCATCTAGTTGGGTCTGCCTAGATGGACTCCTCCCCAGTCACACAGGTGCTGTCTAGCAGCCCTGGGGAGGCCAAGTCTCTGAGAAGGAGGCCCGGCTCAGGCAGCTAGTCCTGCACAGTTCTAGGATTACCAGGTACCACTGTCACATGGACCCCCTCACCCTCTGGCTGCTTCACAGCTTCCTGCTACATTGGATTCTGTTAACGCCATGAAACAGTCACCAAGGACCCTGCTATCAGATGGGGTAGACACAGAGTTCTGCCTCTGTACACCCCAGGTTCTTCATCTAGTTCACAGAGAGACAGCAGTACTAAAGAGGTTGTTGAGAGTTAGCACATAAGCCTGTGACCGGCAATTATCATTCATACGGTTAGTGCTAAGATCTGCAGCTCAGGGAGTCTCTCAGAGCCAACCTGACCTTGGATGAGGCAGCCCTAGATATAACAGTCAATAGGAAATAGCAGAACCACGTCTGTCCTACTGAAATACCAGCATTTCTCCCCTCTCCAGGCTCTGAGCACATCAGAGACAGGACACAAATCATAGAGAAAAAAAACATTTCTCAGCTATGGAAACTGAAATTCAGAGAGGGGAAGCAGCAGAGGTAGAGAGTGGCTCAACCCAGAATTTTTCTGTATTCTCCATAACTGTTCCAAAAGCATTCCTGGATCTACCTGCTGACCTGGCCCACAGAAAAGCCCACCACAGTCAAAGGCACCAGGGATGGGGCGGGGTGGGGAGGAGACCAGGAAGACCCCTACTCACAGGCAGTCATTTGCCTGGGGGATGTAGTAGAAAGCTGGGACTCTGGCTTCGAACTTGGCCTTCACACGGAGGTTCCCGTTGTTGGTCATAAACTGCAAGACAACAGCAACTTGGGGTAATATTAGAACTTGAAAAAAATGTGAAATGAAACTATGATCTACCCAGAAGGCCACGGGTCTCACTGACTCAAAGGCTGGGTCAGGAGAAACTGCCTCCAAGAAGGAGGCATCCCATCCACTTTGGTCATCACACTGTTGGGAAGCCCTAGCTTGGAACGATGAGGGGTAGTAACAACCATCCTCAGGTAGGAACAGCATGTTACAGTTCTCCTACAGTAGCTTGCTGGATCCCCTCAAACATCTGATACTACCATCCCCACTTTAAAGATGAAGAAAATGAGGCTCGGAGGGGTTTGCCTAAGGTAACACAGCAAGCGAGTGGAAAATTAGGATTCGAACCCAGCTCTGTGTGACTACAAAGCTCATGTTCTCTCTGCCACTCCCTCCACAGGTGGCCAGGACTCCAGCAGCTCTGAAAGTCTGCATAACACTGAGGTGGCTAGAGGATGAGGTGACTGCAGGCCCCATAGGTCAGAATGACCAGTGGGGCCCTTTGGAACCTGAGACCCAGAGGCTGATGTGCCCAGGGATGTGGGGATGTCCCACCTGGCCGTGGCATATCCAGGGTGAGGGCAGGAGTGGGAAGAAACACCAAGTTTGCAATCCTCCTCCCTTGGGCAGAGTGAACCATACCCTTCTCCTGGTAGGGGCGGTGGGGGGTGGGTGAGGGACTGGGCAGTATCACGGGACATGCACTCAACAGAGCAGGGTCCAAATTCTGACCCTTAGGATCTCATCTACAAAAATAAGGAAGGGTGGGTTTCACGAGGCACAAAGTAACAGTCCTTCAGGTGTGTGGGCTGGTTGACTGACTGCCTGACCTTCTCTTGAACTAGAATGTAAGCCCTGCATGGGCAGCAAGTGTGTCTTACCACTCTCCTCTCCCAGTGCCCACCACATGGTGGGTTTATAGGACCTACTGTTGACTGAATAAGTAAAATATGCAGCCCAGTGGTGTCTAGCACTGTTCCTGGTTCAGGGTGGGTGCTCAGTGTTGTCATTTACTTCCCCAATCTTGAACTCTTCAGTCCACCAGCACAGTGTACAACTGCCTGCTCTCTGAAGAGTTTCTGACCAAAATGGTCTCACCATCCAGGTTGAGGATTCTTCCATGCCCACAGTGGAAGAGAAAGTAGCCCACTTCCTGGCTGGGGAAGGGGTGGAGGGCCAAAGACTATGAGTCCGAATGTTTCTCTTCCCTCAGTCCAGGACAGCCACTAAGGATGACAGACTGTTAACTCACTGCTTACTTTGTGCCTGGGCTGAGCCTGCATTTAATCCTTATGCATCCCATAGAGGGTGGTGCATGTCCATAATACAGTAGTGGAAATTGAGGGTCCACAGTTAGAATTCAGTAAATAGCCTAGGGTCTCACAGCTTGTGGGCAAGAGACCAGCCAGGATTTGAACGCAGGGCCTCGAAACCACCATCTATTAGACTGAGTTTCCTCTCCTTCCTCACGACCCCTCTGCAGAATGGGAGCACCTCCCAACATTTTCGTTGCAAGCTCTCCACGCGGGTGCGCCTTTCTACCTCTACAACACTGTCGTCCCAGAAGTCAAGTCTCACGGATTTCACTTTGCTGATGTCCGGGAAGTTGCGGTGGACGCCGGAGCAGTGGAGACAAATGAAGATCCCCAGCTTGTAGGAGGCCCAGTCGGGACCTGCAGGGTGGGCGGGAGAGAGGACAGGAGCGGAGCTCAGCACAGTGGGGCCAGGAGACCGGGGCTGGGCTGGGGGAGGGGTGCTGGGATAGGCAGGGCAGGGCAGGGAAGGTCTGATTCGGGGGCGGTGGCCAACTCTGCCCACGCTGGGGACTCCTTTTTTTCTCGGTCTCCCCACTTCAGACCAACTAAGTTGCGGGCATGCAACCTCTGGTCAATCCACCCGCTATGGCACGGTGGCGCCAGGGTGAAGACCTTGGGACGACGCGGGGCTTGGGGGCAAGAGGGTGAGGCAGGCTCGACGTGGAAGCGACGGAACTGAGGGGGAACCGAGAGGAGCGCGAGGAAGGGTCCTGCTCAGGGAGCCGCAGGAGGGAGGTCTGCTCGGTGGAGAGGGGTGGGGGGGGTGGGCAGGGAGTCTGGGGGACGTCGGGGCGCGGGACGGCGGGCACAGGAGGGGCAGGAGGCCGGGGACGGGGGTCCGGGGTCTCCTGGGGCGTGGGTTGCACCAGGTCAGAGGGACGACACAGGGAGCGGGGTCCTGGGTGGTGGCGGACTGGTAGGAAAAGCGAGCGGGACGTCGGGGTCCCGCACCAGAATGGGGAGCGGGGTCCCGGGTCTGGGTGGGTGAGGATCCAGGCGCAGGGCGAAGCGAGGGGCATGTGTGGGTCCTACGGGGAGTGGGGGGTGGGGAGTAGGACCCCGTGCGCTCTAGGCGACGGGCAGGCGGGTCGGGTCGGGGTGGGTCCTGGGATGCACCTGCCCCGCGCCCCGCACCCCGCACCCTTACCCGCCGCCCCGCAGTCGGCGCAGTGCGCGTTGCCGGTGTCTGCCGCCTGCAGCAGCTCCAGCAGCCGCTTCTTGTTGCGCTCGCGATCACCCATGGCCGGCCCGGCGGGTCAGCGGGGCTCAACCCCGCAGCCTCCCGGCCAGCGGCCACCCACGGCCGTGCGCTCCACAGCCAGCAGTGAAGGACCCAGCCCTCCGTGCCTCCCGCCCCGCCCTCCTGGACCTCCGGCCCCGCCCCGCCCCGCCTCGGCCGGTCCAGTCTCGATCCGAGCTCCGCCGACCCGAGCGGGACCGAACGCGCGACCTCAAATCCTGGCCTGCCACTTGCTAGCTGCGAGACCACGAGCAACCTGTTCAACCTTCAGTTTCCACCTCTGTAAAAAAGATGAACAAGCAAGGCGCTGGAAGTTCACGCCTGTAGTCCTAGCTATTAAGGAGGCTAGAATCAGGAGGATCGCAGTTCGAGGCCAGCCTGGGCAAATAGTTCACGGGACCCTACCCCCAAAGTTACTAGCGTAAAACGGACTGGAGACCCGGCTCGAGTGGAAAGGCTCATTTTTCCTAAGCTCGAAGCCTTCAGTTCAAACCCCAGTCCTTCCCCGCCCCTTCATACGCACAAAAGGCGGGGGAGGGAGAGAAAGGGACAGGCAGAGAAAGGGAGGAGGGAAGAAGAAAGGGAGAAAAGGGAGAGAGAGAGAGAGAGAGAGAGAGAGAGAGAGAGAGAGAGAGAGAGATGGGAGGTCTGTAGTCTGCAGCATCTCAGGACTCCTTGGAAATTTTAAACGGAAAGTGCTCTTCTGATACAGGATCTTGCATGTATAGAGACATAGCTGTAATGCTAATGCCACCTCCTAAGAAAGTCCTCCCTCTGGTATCCAGTCTCTGGCAACCTCTCCAGCTTCTGGTCTTCTTAGAACTTTTTTTTGGCGGCACTGGGGTTTGAACTTAGGCCCTCCCGCTTGCTAGGCAAGCACTCTTACTGCTTGAGCCACTCCACCAGCCCTTTTTTGTCATGGGTATTTTTGAGATAGGGTCTCACGAACTATTTGCCTGGGGCTGGCATGATCTACCTGATCTCTGCCTCCTGAGTAGCTAACATTACAGGAGGCAGCCACCAGCACCGACTTCTCAGAACTTCTTCATAGCATCCCTCCCTTCCCTTTGGCCCCAATATTTTCCATCAACCTCCATCCCATCCTCTGCCTCCAAACACACCTGTGCCTTCACTCCAGCATTTGACGTCAGCATTTCTATTCCTGTATCCCTCATAGCTCCTAGAAATAGCACCTGCACATTTTTAGAAGTTCAAAAAATAGTTACATGACCATGTTCACCAGGAAGTGAACCAGTCTGGACACTGTGAAATTCCATCACCATGATATGGGCAGTAATTAGGTACTTTTTTTTTTTTTCTTCATTCTGGGGTATGAACTCAGGATCTCATGCTTCCTAGGCAGACACTCTACCGCTTGAACCACTCTGCCAGCCCTGTTTTCTGGTGGGTATTTTTGAGCCCTGTTTTCTGGTGGGTATTTTTGGGTTAGGGACTCACAAATTATTTGCCTGGAGCTGGCCTTAAACTGCAGTCCTCCTGATCTCTGCCTCCTGAGTAGTTAGATTACAGGCACGAGCTGCTGGTGCCAACTGATTAAGGGGTCTTGAACCTCACTTTCATTAGTGCCCTTCCTGTCTCCTTGACATCATAGTCAGTGACTCACTGGGCTTCTTATATAATACATTCTGTACGTTCTTTGTCGCCTCTGTGGATAAACACCCATCTATCATACACAAATGGCGTAATGCACGTGTATGATGGCCAATAGCTGACATTCCAGCTCATCTGTCCACACCTGCATTCAACACAGACACACACACCCCAGCATGATATAATGGGTAGAATCCAGGGTTCCACAAATTCAGGATTTAGGTGTTGACTTAATCACTTCCCGTTTGTCCTTCGACAGGTTCACTCACTTCTCTGAGTCTGGGATTTTGAGATCTACCTAACAGTCTTTGAAATGGCACATAAGGTCCTCAAATCACAGTAGTCATCTTGCTTCCTTGCCTCCTCTCTGGTCAGCTCATGGGATTGTCATCTGGAATGCCGAATGTCATTTCCCATCATCCCCAGGGTGGAGGAGGTCAAACCACCAAGCTTGGAGGAGGGAGCGGGAAACATTCCTAAAACAAGCAGCCATAAGGGGTCTTGACCCAGTGTCTTGGGGGAGAGGAGGGATTGGTGTAGCTCAGGAGCAGCCACAGAGGAAGCAGTGACAGAGCCAACTGGGGTCAGAGGGCAGGAAGCTGTTTACCAAACAAGTCCAGGGATGATTCATTTCCACTGCTTTTAGATGAAAAGGGGACAGAAATAAATCTCCCAGGAGGAAGATGGGAAAGGCAACCTAAGGTATGAAGACAGAAGGAGGGGGAGGAGGAAAGAAGGGACAAGCCAAGGACATTTCTCTTCTGCACATCAACAGGCAAAGTTGTGATGCTGGAGGTGGTTCTTTGGAACCCCATCCTTTGCAGTCTGTGCTCCTTGGCTTCTCGGAGCTGCTCTCTTCTGGTGCTTTGACTATGTCCCCTCCCTAGAGGTCCCACAAAACAAAAACCAAAGAAAATACAGCATCTCATTCCCAGTAAGGAGTTAGAGGCCGAAAGGTCCCCTTGGCTTCCCCTCTTCCCTTCTTAACTTTTGGAGACTTCAACAGGAATCAAAGTCTTAAGGTGGAATTCTAGACATCTCAGAGGGGATAAAAAAATAGTACTGTCCTTTGTTGAGGGGAGGGTGAAAAATGTGGTTATTGACACCCAGTGTTCCTCAGAAGAGTTCCACACACCCATACAGACGAGCTTCACGATGCCCCTCCAAGGGTACAGGCATCACGCCACTTTGTAGAAGAGAAGGGTGGACCTCAGAGCTCTTCCCCAATGTCATGTGGTCAAATAAGTAGCAGAACAGGGGATGAAGTCTGGGTGTCCCATTGTGGCGTTGTTTAGTCCTGGTTTATTTCATAAAGTCCTTATGCTTACTTCCTTATATGTAAATATTTAATGTGTACAATGTGATTTGATATACATATACATTGTGTAATGACTACCACAGTCAACACCCTGGTCACCATCATGCTGTACCTTAGATACCTAGAACTTGTTTGTCTCATAACTGAAAGTTTGTATCCTTTGTTTTCACTATTTCCAAAACATTTTCATCACCCCAAACAGAAACTTTGTAGTCCACTCCTGTTATCAGCTCAGCTTCTGTGTTCAGAAATCAGAAGCTGCTCCATAGGGAAGAGATCTGTGACAGATGCTGTTGCACCCCAACTGACTCTGAGCACCATGACCCAGGAGTTGAGGGGCAGGGTGGGTTGAGGCAGTCTCTCTGGTGTGCTCAGACCGCAGCTGCTGGGGTGAGGGAGAAGCCGGGGCCCTGGGACAGAATGTCCTCTGTAAATAAAGCTTCCATGGTCCCTCAGTGCACAAACATCCAGCCGTGTTCTCAGACCACTGACTGTCCAGTTGAGCTGAGCTGAGCTGCGGAGGGGCTGGAAGAAAGCCTTCAACCGCATTCCCAGGAATAGACTCAAGATCCCCAAGGAATAGAGCATGACCCCCCCTTGTCAATTTTAAATAATTATGTTTATTAGTTTTAGAACTTAAACTATAATTATAGGGAATTTGGAAAATATGGTACCGAAGGAGAAAACCCTGCCAATGATGGCCACCATTTCTTCAGAGACTAGTGTGTCAGGTTGGATGTAGGCATGCATGATTCCACTTACTCTGTCACAACCCTGAGATAGAGACTAGTTTTATGCTCATTTTACAGATGAGGCAACTGCCCCAGAGAGAGGTTAAGTAAAATTTTCCAAGCACATAAGCAAGATGAAGCATACAAAATGATGCATAGTCCTGGAGCTGGGATTCGAATCCAAGTTGGCCTTGAATCCATTTCACCAATTCATCAAGTTGACCCACAGGAACCTGACTTACAAAAATGGCAACGCCATGCAGTTCAACCTAATAGTATGCTTTGAATACTATCATTAACTGCCACCAACTATCATTAACTTTTTTGTGAGTTTCCTTCTGGTCTTTCAGGAATATTTTAATATGATTGAGGCTACAATTTTCATACAACTTTTTTACTTTTTTCTGTAAGAAGTCTCACATTATATCATTGAGGATGTTTCTTAAGATCATTTTAATGACAAGTAGTCAAAGAACATTTCCTTACTGTTGGATATATTTGTCATTAAGGACAAACTTCCTTACTACTGGACTTACACGTTGTGATCAATTTTTTTTGTGTGTGTGGTACTGGGGTTTGAACTCAGGGCCTACACCCTGAGCCACTCCACCAGCCCTTTTTTATGATGGGCTTTTTCAAGATAGGGTCTCTCGAACTATTTATCAGGGCTAGTTTGGAACCATGATCCTCCTGATCTCTGCCTCCTGAGTAGCTTAGGATTGCAGGCGTGAGCCACTGGTGCCCAACCAATTTTTAAATGGACATAATGCTATAATGATTGTTATTGTACCTTTTTCCTTTGTTTTTCTTTTTTTTGAGACATGATCTCATTATGTAGTCCAGGTTGACTTCTAACTCTTGATCCTTCTACCTCAGCCTTCCAAGCAGCTGAGATTACAGGTGTGTCCCACTGGGCCTAGCACTCTCAATGATTTTTTTTTTTCCAAAACATTAACAACACTTTATTAAAAGAAAAGGAAAGAGGGCTGGTGGAGTGGCTCAAGCAGTAAGAGTGCCTGTGCACCTGTCTAGCAAGTGTGAGACCAAGTTCAACCCCAGTGCTGCCAAAAACAAAACCAAAAAAAACGGCAAAAGAAGCAGTGCCTCTTCCAGGTGGCATGGATGCCCTGATGATTTTTTATCCTTAAAAATCGTACTTTTGCTGGATGCTGGTGGTTCACACCTGTAATCCTAGCTACTTGGGAGGCTAAGATTGGGAAGACTGTGGTTCCAGGCCAGAAAAAACAAAAAATTCCCAAGAACCCATTTCAACCAAGAGCTGAGTATGGCACTGTGAGCCTGTCATCATCTACTGTGAGACGTTTAAGGAGGATGGCAGTCCAGGCCACCTGCATAGTAACCAGAGCAGAAAGGGTTGGGGTGTGGCTCAAGTGGTAAGAGTGCCTGAGTTTAAACTCTAGTACTACCACCCCCTGCAACCAAAGCATATTTTCAAGCACCACGCTATACTCTAATTG